CCCCGTGCCACGCATGGGCCTCAAGCCAGGTACACCTCCTCCAGGGACCCTCCTCTCGAGCGTGTCGTGCGGGGCCGCGGGCACGCGGGTGGCACCTCTCGGAGACGCACCGCCAGTACCCTCCGAGCCGAGGGTCTCCCTACCGCCCGGTCCCCGCTTTGCCCCGAGTCCCCCCCATCCCAGACTGTCTGCTCCACAGCTGCAACCCTGCCCTCGAGGCCCCCGTCTTGCACAGCGAGGACAGGTGTGCCCGCTCAGTGAGACAGTCTGCCGTCCCTCAGGAGGCCAGCAGGGGGCTCCCTTTGGAGGAAGCCTCGGCAGAGACACAGGACACAGCGATGTACTTGGGGTCGTGGGCAGGGCCTTCTCTGGACAGGAGGCGGAATTCACAGGAGCTCCCCAGCTTGTGCACGCACTCTAGCAAGGTCGTGACGGGGTTCTTCCCGGAGAAGAAGGGCGTTGCCGACGTGGTGCTGGGCTGGGACTCCGTGGTCTGGAGAGAACGAGACAAGAAAACACCTGAGAAACCACTGGCTTGTCCATCGTGGTGCAGGGAACGGGTCGGCCACAGGGTGGGGGGCTGACCTCCAAAGGAAGGGGGTTCGGGGGTTCTGGGCCTGTGCCACAGGGAAGGGGGAGTTCTTTAAACGTCCCGGGTCTCAGGGGCGCCTGGGTGGCTCAGTAGGGTAACCGTCTGACTTCGGCTCAGGTCATGATCTCACGGTTCGTGAGTTCGGGCCCCGCGTCGGGCTCTGTGCTGACAGCTCAGGGTCTGGAACCTGCTTCGAATTCTGTGTCTCCCTCCCCTCAGCTCCTCCCCTGCTCACACTCGGTCTCTCTCTCAAAAATAAATAAAGATTAAACGTTCCAGGTCTCATTTCTTATCTGCCAAGAACGGGGCTTGGCCTCGGTCATCTTTAAGGTCCCTTTCCAGTCTGGAGGTCTGTAACTCCAGGTAGGCCGGGGACGTGGGCAGGCAGGGGGGTTGGGCCTGAGGGGAGGAGGCACGGGGAGGTATAGTGGGGGCAGGAGAGGGCACGGACCCATTATTTGCGTTGAGGCGGCGTGCAGAGGCGGGTTAAGATGTGGGTATGCTGGTGATGTGGGGACAGGACGCCTACCTTCTCCGACCCCTTCTCTACGGAGCAGTCGTAGGGCTCTTCTGCCCGCCCGCTGTCCCGGGCTTTAGCCTCCTCCAGCAGGATGGTCATGGCTTTGAGGGCTGCGTCCTGCTTGGCCACCTTCTTGCTGCCAGCTTCTGCTGGGGGAAACTCTCGGCCACCAATGATGACTTGGAATTTAAATCTTGATGGAAAGTGAGACGTGTGAGTGCTGGCCCGGCCGTCCCTGCCACCCTCTCCACAGGGCCCAGGACCCTGAAGCCTCTGCCCCACCAAGGCGGAAGGGCCCTGCCTTGCGGAAACAAAGCGGCCAGGGCCTGCGTCCCCAGAGCTCGTTAGAGTGAGCACTTGGGGGACGCCTGTGGCCTGCTGACACTAAGTTAAGACAGAGCCTGTGCAAACAATGACGAGCCACAGCCACCACCACCGCCACGTCTGTGGTCGGCCGGCCGCCTCTGGGGGGCTCCTCACTGCCCAGCCTCACGCGCCCTGACACCCACGGGGTCAGGTACCTGCCACTTCTGGGGCCTGCCTCTGTCCCCAGCCTCCCTCAGAGACACAGAGCTCTCTGCTTTTGAGTCCTTCTACAGCTCTGTGTGTGAAGCTGGAGAAGAAAGGACTCCCCCTTGTTATGCAGAAAACCAAAAAGCCTTTGTTCTAGGCCTCAGGACTTCGCTTGGACCTCCTGCATTCAAGTTTTCAAATTTGTTCCGCTCTTTGCTCAACCTGGGATTTCATTTAGGAAAGTAGGTCAAGTTTCTGGTTCCCCAGGTCTTCTGATGTACCTGATGCTGTCTTACAGCTGGAGTTACAGGCAGGCTGGCCACAGAACCCGCTGCCCCCCAGTGTGGGGGGAGGGGAGAGCCTGCCAGCCACCGGCCTCCAGCCCAGAGAGAAACAGGTCCTGGCCTCGCAGCTTTAGGACATG